GACAAATTGTCGCCGAAGATCAATCGATTGAGTGCAAATTAATTCGAACACTGTAAACACTGACCAACGGAATACGCGTTTCGGTTTGATCAGCTGAAGAATGAAGTCTTTTGAGAGGGTTCTTGAAGTTTATAACAAGAGTTTTTCATTTAAGAGATATTAAAGTTGTATCATGGCTGTTCTCAAGTATTAAATTGATAACTTTAATGAATCCGAAAAGTTATGTGTTTAGTCATTTGATGGGATGTCTTTTATGTTGAGTTGAATTGAAAAACCTTTTAGCTGAATGAGACCAATTTAGAAGGTCTTGTCGTTCTTACTACCTTCCTTTTCGATTTAATGCCTCTGCCGTTCAGAATCTCTCCCAAAAACTGTTTTAACTTAAGGTTAGTTAAAGACCCCGATAGCCGTGGGGTCACCAATAATTCCTCTAAGTCAACAAGAGACGCCTGGCCGTGCTGCTCAGAACTCTCAGGTGTTTTTCAAAAAGGCTGTCGAATCTCTATGAAATGCTTGCAGTCCACCACAAATTAATTTCCACTTCATCTTCCTTCATGAAAATTCGGCAAGTTGCATCCTCCAAAATCAACATCATTTGTGTCTGTAGGCAAGGTCCTGTTAGAACTGCTGTTATTGCGGAGAGATGCTAAAAACAAGTAATTCAGTAGATCTTTGAAGTTCCACTTTGACCCAGAATATTTCGAAACTCGTTGCTGACCAACACTTTCTGAGCTCGCGTGAAGTCCACAGATCAAGCGTCGGAATGAAAGAGGACCGTGGAGCACTATCTCGTCCCCACTTGGGCTTACGTAAAGTGTGTGTGGAAGGTTTGACTAACGACCAAAAATTGTTTAGAATTCAACATTCGAAGAACGATTATTTGACCAAAAATCACATCTTAACCCCGTATTCACCTGATATGGCACCGTGCGACTTCTGTGCAGACGTAGAGGCCATTCAAAAGGCTTGCACTGGCATACTGGCGGCCATACTGGCCAACGAGCTGAAACACTCGTTCGACATGCTTTTGGACCGAGCAAAAAACTGTATTTAAGCAGAAAGAGACTGTTTTCAATAAAATAAATTGATTTTGCCCAAGAAACCATTTGTTCTGTTTTGTTTTTAAGTCGTGTTTACTTTGAAACGCATTTTGTAAGTAGACGGAATAGACCAAACATTACATATAGCCTCGGGCTGCCATCACGGTAGCGCGTCTCAAAATTAGTTAAAATTTCGAAGGGCAATCATAAGCTTATATTTCTAGAACGTTGAAATACATTTAAAACCTGCTGTACCAAACTAATGGACGACCATGACAGATAGTGTTCACGTCGGTAACAGAACAAGGATCCATTCGAGGCCCAGACTTTTGGAACATCAGCAATAACGCTATACTAAAACTCGAAATGTCATACGAATCGTACTTAATTGGCTACGCGGACGACATTGCAGAGGTAATTGCAGTGATAGAAACAAAGAAGTACGAAGAAAGCTTATTCATTTCATGATATCGATGAAGTAAGTATGTAAACGACAAATCTAGCACGCCGCAGGAAAGGTAGCGAAAATCCTCTCCCAACTGAGCAGACTTATATCCAGCATAGGAGGCCCCAGCCACGAACAGAGAAAGCTCGTAATGTCGAAGACAATCAGCGTCCTATTATACGGAGTTGAGATCTTATGAAAAAATGTCTTTATAGCAAATTTGATTCTTGAACCTTTAGTTAACGGATAAATAATCACTGATAGTAGAAAATTAGCAAGGTAGTTGCTTCCGTGAGCGGTACTCTTCTATCATTTTCAGTTTCTATGTTTCTCTTCATCATTTCCTCTTCTTGCATCACCTATCTTATATTTACGATCACCAATATATATGAGTAATATTCTGGCAGACCCAATCTCAACTGATATAAGGATATAACGACATTTTATTAAAGACTCGCTAAAACATAATCGATGAAAAAATGAAACACATCTAGGTTGGACTTCTGCCTTTTCAAGTCTCAAAAAATTCAATCTGCTCTGCCTCTGTCTTCTTTAATTCCAGCGCTAATATAAATTGCTGTAACTTTTGTCTCCCTCTGCTCTCACAGCTATGTGTGTGGTCTTGCGATGAACTTCAACTAAGCAATTTGTTTTGGACACAAAAGTTACAGAATGACCAAATTTACCTCGAGAGAAAACATCAACATATAATATCTACTCATGAATCACGATGGCATAGCCTGAGAACACTCACTGATATACTAAGCCAGCCGCAAAAACAAAAGCAGTAACCGCAATTAATAACTGAAAATAACCACAGAAGCAAATATATATATAGTATATTTTAGTAGGTGAAATGAAAAAACAAAAACAAAAAGCAATTGTAAAGTAAAAATCAGTAAACCGCAGCCGGAATGCTAAGCATGCACGCAATGCGTCTAAGAACATCGCTCATCAAAACAATCTAAACAGGAATAACAATAATCACGGCGCTGTTGATGGGAGAAAATTCCAAATTGATGCCTGGCGCAACACCACAAAGCAATGCCGATGCTGAAGAATAAGAAGAAGCAGACATGGAAATGACATTGGACCACACTATTAGCGCCGTCGCTTGCTTGATTGCCTTCGGGCGGGCCGTTGAAAGCGAAAGGTGAGAGCTTGCAATATAAACAAACCAACGCAATCACAACAAAAATAATAACACAATAATAACAAAGCAAAAGAATTGCCGGGAAAAGCAAGAATTATGAAGAAAATATAAAATAATGGTTACACTGCGGTACGAGTGTAAAACATGAATGAAAACTTGCGTCGACACACTTAAATAAATAAATACTAGTAAGAATGAAGCATAACAAAGTACAAATGCCGCAATCTATCTAGAAAGATAGACTTATTGAAAGGGTGGCTCATAAGCTGGGTTTTTATGCTAAGAAATGAAACCTTATACATTTATTGAGAAAGGTATCTTTTTTAATCGTATTCTTCAAGTTGGCCCTGATGGTTCCAAACACAATCCTTCGAATTACGTGATAAAGGGATTCGCTTTTAGACTGGATTCATTGGTTGATCGACAAAAATCTGTAGTTCTAACTATTATATTTTAATGTTAAAAACTTCTTGATTTATATACGTAGGTTTTGGGTTGGAAATATGATATTTTTTCCTTGACGAACTATTTCGAATTATCTGCTTTCAGTCCTCGTATTATTTTTAACTGTCTCGTAGTTTCTTATTTAACTCCCAGACCTATTTCCTTTTCCATTTTTGCTATACCTATATATACTACTATCATTATCCTAACCCTTTATCTACCTGTTTCTAATTTTAGTGCTGGTGGTAGCTGGAAACCGTATATCTTTACATATCCTCTATTTTTGCTCTTTTGATCTGGGGAGTCAGCCATTAGTTATGTGTTTCCCATTTTCCGTTCTCACCTATATCAATATCACTTTCTTTATGTTTCCTTCTGTGACTATCTATATGTCCAGAGGCAGATTCAGAGAGGGTAAATTGTGGATTGTGATATTTTCAATTGATACATTCTCCGTGGTTTATACTCCAAGTTCTCCAATATAATAGGCATCAAATATGATAGATACGCTGCATGTAACGTTCCGAAAGCGAAGTCAAAAATATGACGATCCCTTTTTTCAGACACGAAAAAATAGCGGCAAAACTGAAATTTGACGAAGAAAAACCAAGAATCTGCGGCCGACAAACAAAAAGCGAAAATTTCTACGTAAGAACCTGCGAAGAATACTGCAGAGTCTCAGTGGACATCAGTCTGTGGGATACAATCAGCGCAGATTTAAAGAGGCGCTTCTGTGGAAAAGTTTTGAATCTAGTTCCTCATTGTTTTCTGCATCCAGAAAAGTATGTGCTTTGAAATCCCAAAAAATGGAAAATTGTATAGACTTTTTGATAGATAGATTCAAAGGTCTTTTGGATAACAACAAACTTGGTCAGTGGCAGTGCTATTGGGGGCAAAGGCAAAAATAAAAACCCAATAAGTTATCAACCCCAAAAAGTTGCATCTCTCGTAATTGCAAAGCCCATAAGCTAGCAAGCTCAGAACAGGAACGAGCTGGATCTCCTGACAGATTACGTTCCAGAATTCTTCTTGTGATCCTGACGTGCCAAAGGAGGCGTTGGTTGACAGAGAACTTCTGTGCGACTGAAAGATCCGTTTGGTGACAAGTGACTTCGGATATGTCACTGACAATAACCGCCTTAAGAAATTCCACGTGCACTTAGCGGAAGTCGGTCGGGGAGAGAGCTTCAGTGTGACTGAGAGATCTTTTTGACTTAGAGTAGAACTCAGGAAATGTATTACGTGTAAGGTCCCTCGCAATTATATGAGTTCCTACTAGACGGGAAAAATTTCGGCAGTCTTAGGTCGGCGCGAGTGAGTGGAGTTCAATTATAATATCATTTTATTATCTTTCGTCAAACATTTCTCAAACCGAATTGACATTCCTTGGTCGGATAAAAACCTAGGTCCATTATGGTTACGTAGAATCTACTGTCCGGTGAAGGGAGCTTTACTTTGTTTTCATGGCTAACTCTTTCTGAATCTTTGAATTTTTACCTATAAATACGTATCTCATTTACTTTCTATCGAATTTGTAATATTTGACCCATGTTCTAACGTTAGGACTACCTTTTATAAAGGCACGTAACCACAGAAATCTCAAGAATGAATTTCTCACCAAACTACTTACTTTTAAATTAAATTACAAAAATCACAACAACATCAACGACTTCAGTTTATTTTTATTAATGCGATAGGGAGACGGAGCCCAGCAAGCTTCGTGTGGGTTGGCTGATAAACAGTGAAAGGAAAATGCTCGAACTAAAAACACATAAGTATACATACGTACATATATGCGACATACATCGCCCAACGAACGCGTCAACCAACACCTTCACCATCATTATCACAATTCACCAACCAACACAAGCAGTTACAATTGAGTGCGTCCAATTGAATGAGGTGTGACCAACCAAGGATGACCGACCGATCAAGTGAAGCAGCAGCGCACTCAGTGCCCGCTTACACGCCCGGTGGCAGCACCGCAGCGAATACTCAATGGTCTGATGAGGCAACGCTCGCATGCGAACCACAATTGATTGAGCGCTGTGGCGTAGATGTGACCACCAAGTGTCGTGACATCGATACCGGATCTTCTAACACACACGTAGCGGTGCATGGCATACACGCACACATACATACACGCCAACTTACATGAAAGTATAAAACTGTAAGCGAGTGGCAGCGAAGACAATGCTTTGAATTGGAAAGTGTAAAATATATGCCTGAAAGAGGTGACAAACAAAAGCAACAATGGACTGGTGATGAGTTGCAGTCTACTACATATGTAGCTATGGATAAGTGTATATATGCATGTGAGAAGAGGAAGAGGCAGCAAAAAAGTTCATTCTTTCAAAAAGAGGAAGTAATCAATACCACAAAGCAGTGGAGTGCTTGAAAAGACTAAGAAACAGAACCGTTTCAGCAAAGTGTACAAAAGTGGCTCTTCAACCAAAGCTACAACAACAATAATATATACGTAAATTGATAAGACAATAACAATAAAAATATCGCTTCACACGCACGTGAGCATCAATCGAGCGCTGGCGTTGAGTGAAAGATTGCTTGCAGCTTAGGAACCTGGTGAATGGGTGTTGAAACGGTTGCAACGCTGTTGTGTGAATGAAATTATAGCTTGCACTTGCTACAGGGATGACATATAGTCATAAATATATATGTATTTGTATAACATGTTTTGAATATATTTCAACTAGTGAATGTAAAAAGGTTACTAAAACCTGCTCATACAGTCAGAAAACTGTGCTTTTTGAGTACTGTTTGAGAAATTGATTCTAAGTAATATAGCAAATTGGACTACGAGATCATTCTGCCCTAGTATGGAAAGAAGTAAATCTATAGAACTGCTTGCGCTTAGCAAAATTCATCTTGCCGCAATCATAGGCGTTCTCACTGAACATTGTCCAAAAAGCATTCATGCGGTGAGGCTGTAAATCTTGTCGGACGCAAATTGTCAAAGTTGTATGGAAGAAGGTGAGGTGGAAACATCTATACGCTCTCCCCTACAATGTCCACCGGTTGCAAGACTGAAATTGAAACTTCTTGTCAGCATTAGGTTGGACTAACCTGGTGAAATAGCTGGAAGGGTTTTCAGCCGCCTCACTAAATGTGTGTTAGGTTTAAGGCGCTTCGTCGAATTTCTGTTCCATCAATAATACTTTTATGAGTGCTTAGGCACCATAATGGAAGGTTGTTCTAAGCTTTCCAAATGAGATCCCTTTTGGACGCGATCTCTTAATCTCACCTTATCTGAAATCAGTAATTAGTATATTATATAAGAGGAATCCAACTCCGATTTATGTGAAGCGTCTCCGTTTTATTGTTCCAATGGTTACTCTTTTAATAAATAGACATATCTCCTAACATTACCCTGGTACAATACACCCATCATCTTTGTAATAACTGCAAATAAAGGGGCTAAATGTAATATAAGTTATATCCAAGAAGTCTTTCAAATGTCGATAGATCTTCCTTAGTCACGCATTCAAATAACTTTGACTATGAGATATTTAAAATATTTTGATTCTCTATGTATGTATGTATTCTATGTTGGTACTCTTTTGACTGTAATTTTCCTTCTTTTATACCCTCTGCCTTACTTCCCCGTTCTTTGTAACTCGCTAAAGATAAACAAAAGATTCAAAAAATCTAACCAAAGGCCTCTAACCTCAGAAATAGCTCCTTTCTTCGGTTAAAACAAAGGGTCGTAGACCTTGGAGGGTGTATGAGTTTGCTAAAGTTAAAAATTCATTAACATAATCCATGCTCTTTGGATCTAAGAAGGGTTGTGAATCTCGCTAAAAGGAAAAAAGGTCATTTCCTTTGGTAAGGGTGGTTGATTTTGCCAAATGTAAACAAAAGAATCATTGACATCAGTAATAACTGTTGACTTCGCTAAAGGTAAACAAGGAAGTCATTACCAAATAAAAAATAGTTGAACTCGGGAATTGTTGACCTCACTAAAGGCCATCGACCTTGGAAACTATTGTTAATCTCGGCAATGGTAAAAAAAAAGTCATTGACAACGGGAAGAGTTTTTGACTTTGCTAAGGGATCATTATATCACTATATCACCAAATATCATTCAGTAATGGTTGCTAATCTCGCTGTAGGCGATAGCTTGATATCGGAAGAGGTCGATGACCTCGCTAAGGGGTCGAACAAGAGCTGAAGTATTCGGCCATTGCTCGCTTTAGGTCATTGATTTCAGAAAGCGTTGTTAACCTCTCAAAGGGGTCGAGCAAATGCTAAAGTATTCGGAATTCATAATAATCATTTAAGCTTCTTTCTGTTAAAGTTCTTAAGGATCGAAAATTTGAGATCTTATTTCTATAATGAATATCCCACCCAATCTGCGCCAACATCAACATTGTACATAAATTTCTATCGAGGGTAGTATGTAAAAGTACATTGGGCTATCATGGTTCAAGCATGGTGAAGCTCAACAAGTGGTCGCAAAGCCAGGATTGACGCCTCGAAAGGTTATGGGTGTTTGTGGGATTGGAAAGATATCATCCAAATGACATTTTACTGTCAACAACTGATTAGTTTGAACAAGCAATCGAAAAAAATGGCCAGAACTAATCAACAGAAAGGGCTTCGTCTTCCATTAGGACAACGCTAGACCACATACATTTTCGATGACTCGGCAAAAACTGGAAGAGCTTGGCTGGGAAGTTTTCATGCATCCACCATATAACCCTGACTTTGCACCATCGGACTACCATTTGTTTTCGTCAATGCAGAGCTGCCTTAATGGAGTAAAATTGGCTTCAAGAGAAGCCTGTGAAAATTACTTGTCGCAGTTTTTCGCCCAGAATACAGAAAGGTTTTACACTGATAGAATAATGTTTCTAGCGGAAAAATGGCAAAAGTAGGTGACCAAAATGGTATATATAAAGTTCATTAAAGTTCATTATAAATATAAAAAAATAAGTTGAAATTTGATTAGAAATACGAAAAGACTTTTTCGACTAGCAATATTTTAGGCCTCAGCTGTTTCCTCGCTTAAAATCAAGTCGGGTATTTTTGTGAGATATATAATATTAACAGAGAGCTTTCTCATGTCAGAAACTGTGTAGTTTCAATGCAGAATATATTAAAATATTTACAGGTCTTAACCACCCCCATTACTTTCTCGGTTTTTAGATAGAGTATTTAATAATTTTGATAAAAAGATACCAAAATCTTTCAGAATATAAGCAAGAATATAAACCGAAAACGTAATCAACATTAGCAACAACAAAAAAGGAACAATAAACAACAAAATAAACAGCCGCCAACGTGTGGCAATAAAACGGAGTAATTATGCATAATTATAAATTATTATGTAAACGAGCAATTTTACGAAATTTTTTACACGCCGCGGCAGCATTTTTATACTCAATAAACTTAGTTAGACAACTAGCAGATGGGCCAGCCATAAATTTGTGCTCATTATTACAAATAATAACCAGCCGAACAGCGTTTTTTGCTGCCAGAACTTTAATTTAGTGCAATAAAGGGTGTTTCAATAGACTCTACACACAATTGCCACACTTTTTCACAACAACAACAGACATACACACATATCGTTGCACATAGCTAGGCACATGAATTGGGTGGGAGAGCGAAAGCGGAGTAGAATATAGAGCAAGCGGTGGCTGCTGCTTTATTTTGGAGCTTTTTTCGGCTGGAGAAATCCGTTTTTTCATGCGCCGGGTGCAGCCATAAATTTGCCGCTTAATTATAGTGTTGTTCTACAGAACAGAAAGGCACAATATGTGTACAAAAAATGCTTGTTGTTGCCACTGTTGCTTGTTGCATAGTGTTTTTCCAACATTTTTCCGACAGCACACTTTTATTTAATTAACTTTGCCACAAAAGTGCAGCGGTTTTTTTCACTATCAAATGACACTTATTTGTTGCTTTATTGTTGGCTGGAACTCAATTTATTCGAATTTACAGTTAATTGTTCAATTAAATGGGTAATACTGTCCAGAAATTATGAATATTTAATGCACTTTTATGTGTAAGCGGTAGCTATGCTCATTCTATTCTCAAGAGTGTGATTGATTGCGTTGTACTCGTAAGTGGGTTAAGTGGGAATTATATTTTTGATAGATCAGATAAGAAAATAATTTGAAAAATAATGGATCATATGTTTTGTTTTGAAATGAAAACCACTCCCCTTCACAAAGCTTAAGACTTTTACCTGCTTTTTAAAATTCAATAATCAGTTAGGGATACAAATGTATAGACACCGCAGCTACTCTGAAAATATTAAACTAAAATACTCCTATTCTTCTTCTTTATTGGCGTAAACATCGCTTACGCGCTTACAGCCGAGTTTACAACAGCGCGACAGTCGTTCTTCCTTTAGCTGTTTAGCGCCAATTGAAGATTCCAAGTGTAGCCTGGTCTGGTCTTTCCTAACGGAGTGGAGATCTTCCTCTTCCTCGTTTTCATCCATACGGACTACATGATATAGACATCAATGTCGTCGTACATCTCGTACAGCTCATCGTTCTATCGACAACGGTATTCGCCTTTGAATGTTATAAGTCCATTCAAGGTTCTTTACTTTTTTTAAAGAAAAATCACGGAAACTTCAAATTTAAAGACCACTGTTTATTATCATTCGAAAGAACATTCTGTGGCATTCATTTTTTTTAGATTATATTTGAGTGAGCAGAGTTAGTCATGGCTACTTGTCAGATGGTCCATCCGAGACCTTGAGCTTCAATTTCAGACATTCAATAGTTCGTTATCATGTCACCATAACGATCGCCATTGACGGTGACGTTCTCACCGGCATCATTTTTGAAGAAATATGAAACCACAAAACACACCAAATCTCTTCAGGCTGCTCTTTGTCTCAAATGCGACGATTTTGCTTGTTTACATACCCATTGCGACAGAAATGGGACTCATTTTTGAACACAATTTGGTTCAAAAACACCGGATCTTCTAGGAACTTTTCAAGAGCCCAAAGAGCGAAACGATGACGAGCGGCTTCAGTTCTTACATAAGCTGTATTTTGTTTGATTTCAATTTAAGATCTCAACGTAAAATGAGTTCGTTCGAGTTGCTGCGAACGGTGCCGAATCG